CAGTACACATGCTGCGTTTGAGCGAAAATCGTCATCAGTATTCTTCAAAAGTGCAACAGCGACGGGAATGACAGCCTCAATGGCAGGTTGAAATTCAGCTGTCATTAAATGTCAGCTTCATTCCGATGCAATATCACCCACTAAACCTTGCTCTGAAAGCTTCGCCAGTGCCGATGCTCCCTCGGATCGAACGGACTGGTCAGAGTGCTTCAAAAGTGCAACCATGGCAGGAATGGCACCCACAATGGCCGTTCGAAATTCGCCTGTCGTCAGATGTCAGCTGTATTCCGAACCGATTATCACCCACTGCACCTTGCTCTGAAAGCTTCGCAAGTGCCGATACGCCCTCGGATCGAACGTACCCGTCAGAGTGGTTCAAAAGTGCAACAATGTCGGGAATGGCACGCGCAATTGCCGTTCGAAATTCAACTGTCGTCAAATGTCAGCTGCATTCCGATCCGATTATCACCCACTCCACCTTGTGCTGAAAGCTTCGCCAGTGCCGATATTCCTTCGGATCGAACGTACCGGTCAGAGTGCTTCAAAAGTACAACAATTTCGGGAATGGCATCCGCAATGGCCGTTCGAAATTCACCTGTCGTCAAACGTCATCTGCATTCCAATCCGATTATCACCAACTCCACCTTGCTCTGAAAGCTTCCCCAGTGCTGATACTGCCGAGGATCGAACGTACTCGTCAGAGTCCTTCAAAAGGTCAATAATGTCGGGAATGGCATCCGCAATGGCCTTTCGAAATTCCCCTGTCGTCAGAAGTCAGCTGCATTCCGATCCGATTATCACCCACTCCACCTTGCTCTGAAAGCTTTTCCACTGCCGATACTCCCGAGGATCGAACGTACCAGTCAGAGTCCTTCAAAAGGGCAACAATGGTGGGAATGGCACCCGCAATGACCGTTCGAAATTCGCCTGTCGTCGGATGTCAGTTGCATTCCGATCCCATTATTACCCACTGCACCTTGCTCTGAAAGCTCCGCCAGTGCCGATAGTCCCGAGGATCGAACGTACCGGTCAGGGTCCTTCAAAAGGGCAACAATGTCGGGAATGGTACCCCCAATGACCGTTCGAAAGTCGCCTGTCGTCAGATGTCAGCTGCATTCCGATTCCACTATCACCTACAGCACCTTGCTCTGAAAGCTTCGCCACTGCCAATACTCCCGAGGAACGAACGTACCTGTGAGAGTCTTTCAAAAGGGCAACCATGGCGGGAATGGCAACCCCAATGGCCGTTCGAAAGTCGCCTCTCGTCAAATGTCAGCTCCATTCCGATCCGATTATCACCCACTGCACCTTGCTCTGAAAGCTTCGCCAGTGCCGATACTCCCGAGGATCGAACGTACTCGTCAGAGTCCTTCAAAAGGTCAACAATGTCGGAAATGGCACCCGCCATGGCCGTTCGAAATTCCCCTGTCGTCAAATGTCAGCTGCATTCAGATCCGATTATCACCCACTGCACCTTGCTCTGAAAGCTTCGCCAGTGCCGGTTCTCCCGAGGATCGAACGTACCAGCCAGAGTCCTTCAAAAGGGCAACAATGTCGGGAATGGCATCCACAATGTCCGTTTGAAATTCGCCTGTCGTCAAATTTCAGCTGGATCCCGATCCCATTATTACCCACTGCACCTTGCTCTGAAAGCTTCGCCAGTGCCGATATTCCCGAGGATCGAACTTCCTCCTCAGAGTGCTTCAACAGTGCAACGATATCGGAAATGGCACCCTTAATGGCCGTTCGAAATTCACCTGTAGTCAAATGTCACCTGCATTCCGATCTCATTATCACCCAGTGTACCTTGCTCTGAAAGCTCCGCCATTGCCGATACTCCTGAGGATCAAACTTCCTCGTCACAGTGCTTCAAAAGTGCAATAATGTCGGGAATGGCACCCACAATGGCCGTTGGAAATTCGCCTGTCGTGGAATGTCAGCTGCATTCCCATCCCATTATCAGCCATTGCACCTTGTTTTGAAAGCTTCGCCAGTCCCGATATTCCCGAGGATCGCAGGAGGGACATCGAGTACTTCAAAAGTGCAACAATGTCGGGAATGGCGCCCGCCATGGCCGTTCGAAATTCGCCTGTCGTCAAATGTCAGCTGCATTCAGATCCGATTATCACCCACTGCACCTTGCTCTGAAAGCTTCGCCAGTGCCGATACTCCCGAGGACCGAACTTCCTCCTCAGAGTCCTTCAAAAGTGCAACAATGTCGGCAATGGTACCCGCAATGACCGTTCGAAATTCGCCTATCGTCAAATGTCAGCTAGATTCCGATCATATTATCAACCACTGCACCTTGCTCTGAAAGCTTGGCCAGTGCCGATACGCCCTCGGATCGAACGTACCCGTCAGAGTGGTTCAAAAGTGCAACAACCTCGGGAATGGCACCCGCAATGGCCATTCGAAATTCGCCTGTCGTCAAATGTCAGCTGGATCTTGATCTTATTATCGCCCACTGCACCTCGTTCTGACAGCTTCGCCAGTGCCGATAATCCGCAGGATCGAACGTTCTTGTCAGAGTCCTTCAGCAGTGTGATGAAGTCATGAATGGCACCATGGAGGCCAGTTCGAAGTCTACCTGAAAATCGCTGTATATTACATTGTCCTCCCTTTTCCATTGGGATTCTCTTACCACATTCGAATAGTAACAGTTCTACTTGATCAGGTATGTTTTGAGAACCTTCTCTGCTACGCTGTTCCAGTTTCTTCATCCACTCTTTTTTTTCCCAGCAGTGATAATAAAGTTAGGTATTTGTGTTTTAATTAATTGCGTGAAGTCAGTTCACCTCCTTTTTCAACCTCGCCTTCGATCATCCTCCGGCAATCCTCTGCTCCTCAATTAGAGTCTTTCCCGTAGTTATGGAACATATTCTTACCATGATCCCAATACGCCAACATCGCCCTTTGGCAACTTGTACTTAAGTTGTCATGTCGCGATGATGCTCCATCTATAGCCGCCAACATCAAAGCCTTTCGCTCGTATGCTGCTGCACCCACAGTGACCAAAGTTTGAATGTGTCTGGGTAACGACATCCCCACGTTACCATCATCCATGTTTGTCGAAATACCAATACAAACTGCCCACCCCGTTGTTTGTAGGGAAGGCGGTAAACTGTCCGGCCGATTTAAGGGTATCCCACCGTCCAGAAGGGTTATGAAGGGAGAAAGGTATTTTTTGTCAATTATTTTGTCGTTTTCTATGCGGGGCAATAGGAACCGTGAAATTGCAAGGAGGGAAACTTCGGCAATGTCTGCATCCCATAAGGTGACGGTGTCCGCATTGAGCTGAAAGCAGTTCGACAAGACTTTGCATACTTTGTCCGTTATGGCTCGTTGGCACAATGCAATCCGCAGCGGTTCAGATTGTTTAGCACCTGCTAGCGCCCTAAGTGCCTCTTGAACTGCCTCCTTCGATGTGGAGTTTGCAATCATCCATGCCAGGACATCAGCTTCAAGTCGGGCCCGTTGAGGAATGCGATGCATTTCGATGAGGAACCGAGAAAGGCTTTCTAGCCCATCATAAATTCTGGATATATACGTCTCTGTCGGCGACAAAGACTTATAGTCGTCTGATATCGACGTCTCATACTTTGCGCGGGCACGGATGACTGGCAAAAACCGTGACATCGTTGTCCGAAAGGGGCAAGCACGGGAAAACAAGGGTAAAACTGTGCCGAGTATATATAGCATGAATCCGAATAGGGTTAAAAAAAGCATAATAATGCCCAAAGCGACGCTGTTATTCCAGGTGAATAAGACGAGACCTGCAGAGAAAAGGAAGAGAGCTAGTTGGATCAAAAGCGGGATTCCACTAACAACTGACACGAGGCGCCATTGGTATGCTCTTTTCAAACGAAGGTGACGTTCGTAGGCATCACTTGAGGAACTTCCTCCGGATCTATGAATATACCCCGCCAGCCATTCTCTTGTAAGTACAGCACAAAGTGCACTGAAGAGAGTGAGACCGAGACTAGTGAACCACAAATAGTTGACAACAAGGGATGATTTGGAGACTTGAAAAGGCGGAGAGGTAGTTACAGCGAGGGGTTTTTGAAGCGCCTGAAGGATTTCCAGAAGAGGATCTACCTGCAAATCCTTCCTACTTTCAATCAGGAATGCGGTGAGAATCCCTGCAAACAAACCCGCCTGAAAAAGTGTGAATTAATGAAAGATCCATAAAGGAAAATGTATTGAATATACAAATATGAGAAGGTCGTCAACACCAACTTGCAATGACTCGACAAGATCTCTGTCCTCTTTTTCCGTTTCCTTCAGATATAATGACCATACGGTTGAATCCCATTGAACATGCTTGTTATAGGGGTTATCGTCCTCACTTTCTAAGCCATTATCGGCACTGGATACCTCATTTGGTGTAAATGCTGATTTAATACCTGAGACAGACGGTATCTGTGATTCAGCGGAGCTAGGGTCTTTTGCAAACTGCTTAGACATGGGTTTAACTTGAGTTAGCCAACAATGTCGGTCAATATATACTTACATAAGCGCCCAAGCCCGTTCATCAAACTTCCTGCACATCGGAACATGTATCCTTACGAGATTGGACCAAGTTAGGAAATCTTTCTCATCACTACGGTTCGGTGAACAACCTCTATTCCGCGGTCTCAATCGAAGCCGGTTGCAACCATACGCGATGGAGAGACAATGACGGTGGCAGACACGGGCCATGGAAATAAAAGGCACGGAAGACCGGAGGGCTGAGAGACGCGATCTGTGAATGCGACCCAAAATATGATGTTGTTACTCCAAGACCGAAATTACTGGCCAGACAGCAGGGGGTAGTGGATAAAGAAATGGTTTGGCTGATTTTAAGATGCATTGTTTTGATGGAAGATTTACATGTGAGATGTGGGGCAATAGAAAACATGTGTGAAAATTGAAAGTGAGATGCAGCATCAGTGATGAAATTCTCCTTGGAAGATAACCAAAGAGAGTCAAAGGTAAACTCTGTTAAAAGTGTAGTAAGTGAATGGCCAGACTGGGAGTTGAACCCAGAACTTCTGCATATATAGCAAGGGTATTACCAATTACACCACCCAACCCTGGGAAGCCCGCTTCTCTTTTCTACTTGAGGAATAAATCAATGAACATGTAACGGCTTCGAGTCAATGGCAGTGGCCCTGAACATAAACAGATAAAGTTCAGGGAGGCAATGTCTGGTATATGTAATTGTACGAATTCTGTTGGGGATGGTATTAATGTGAATGGGGTGTCAGAGTCCGATGTAGAAGCATTGACTTTTGATCGGTTCTTTATAAAAGGAATAATAGTTTTTTATAGAATAGAGTTTGTTTTTGCTTTCTTTAGAGTGCCAAGTTCCGTAATTAAATGTAATCGGTGCTGGGAGACAGAAATTCAAATTATTAGCAGTAACACGCCGCTGTAGCTCGACTGGACTGACCCCTTGCACAATCCATTCGCAGCAGTTGCCGAGAAACATGCAATATACAAAGAAGGCGAAGCTAAGGGCGAGGCTGCCAAACCTTAAGTGACATGGAGCACTTCTACATAATGCTGGACTCTTTTCTCAGTTTGAACACATGATGTACACTTATTACTGGGTCTCATGACATATCTGCATGCTGTTGTTCTGGATCATTAGTTCAACGTTGACTTTGAAAATTTCTACAAGCTATACTTGACGTTGAGTGACGAGAAGTTTCGTTATCATTTAATTTCCGATCCAGAATGAACTCTAAGCTGAGAAACTAGATGGCGTCTCTCACCCGTCGGATCACCATAAGTAAAGAGGTTAGATGGCGTCTTTAATCCAAACAGGCTATAGATATCCATCCACCTCGAGAAAAATGGTTGATAACCTGGAGGTCCGTAAAATACTAATAATACTGAGCATTGATGTTCGACTTATTTTTTCTCACTCATTATATAGTGAATATCCCGAAGGACATTGATGCAAGTGTAAAGCCCCACCTAGGAGGGTGTTTATAATTACTATAATATCAAATATTTATTAATAAAAGCCTTATTTTTACAAAACTCCATCTTTAAATAGTGACATATCCTCTGAGAGTATTATATTGTTAACCACCAATCATAAGAAACAATTCTTCATATTACATCCTAAATAATTCAGAGTCAATTAATAGAACCTATTGTATATGGTTTTCCAAGTTATGTAAATACTTGCTAATACTTTTATTAGTACTTTGTTTTTTAAAAGTTGTAATGTAGTTATTTCCATGTAAAATATATAAAATTTTATTGGAAATTTTACATACCACACTTTCTTGATTAAGTAAAACCATCTATATATTCTAGGTATGTTGAATCAAGTAGAAATCTGTTTAGATTCACAGATCCATTCCGAAGTAATACATATGTATTTAGAGGTGCCAATGATATACATATACATGGAATGGACTATCTATTCACACTCTTGTGAGATAACAAATTAGCAGGAATCTCGTCCCAGGGCAGATAGCCCTTGTCATCCATATCCCTCAGAGTCATATGTACCACAAATGTCCCATTTTTTCTGAGCTAATGGTCAAATAAAATCACATCATAGCCTTAGCAAATAATATAAAGAGTACCTCTGAAATCAGATGGGATTTTCCTGTGTCTGAGCTCTGAACAATAGATAGATATAGCCCATAATATCCTTTGTCATCTGGCCTTCCAAGGCAAGAAACTGCTGGATATACCTCCTCACAAAGATATAATTGGAATCCTAATGCTGACAGAGCGTGAGAATGAAATCCTCAAGGATCATGCAGAGATGGCTAGAGCATGGTACACTGACTGTGCTTGCTGTATTATTCAGGCTAAAGAAAACATTACAAGTGTTCTGAGTGCAAATGAAATGGGAATATTACAAACAAAGGTAAGTGATTGAGTTACATTTAACTGTCATCTGTGCTGGCTGACATGTTACCCTTAGAAGTTTTACTACGAATACCGAAGTGCGGTTTCTTATGCGCAGGAAGATACAGAAGCACAATTACCTGAGTTCCAGACTTTAGGAGATTGGGAGCCAGTGAAATCAACAAAGATGGATGTCTGTGCCAAAATATGCAAGCACTATCTCTCTGACGATAATATTCCTGATGTCGAATTCAATGAGGGTGTTCCCATTTTCCCAGGACTGGAGGTGCCATCTCAGATAATGAATAGCAGGATACTTATCTATTCAGAGTCGCCAATGGTAACCCACCTGCTCCGTAATGTTAGAAAAGAAAATTTGACTCGATTTATATTCTGCTAATGAATGATGTGGTTCGACAGATGTTGGAACTGTATGGGATGAAGAGTCTTCTATTGATGGAAGGGATGACTTTGATCTATGAGATGTAACTGTGGATGAATTCCATAGTCCCAACAGCCCGAGGATTCTTATCATCTCTAGCATTGGGGGAACTGGTCTGAATCTGACCATTTGTGACGTGATCATCCTTTTTGTAAGCACTTATTTTTTAAGCCTCAACGTATCTACTCAAACATCTGGCTTAGAACCAGCTATGGAGTTCACAGGAGACTCATCAAATACATGGCCAAGCTCACAGACAACCACAAAAGAAGGTTGTCAAAGTGATTCACCTGTTGGCGGGTGAATCATCCGATATTCTCCTCAACCAGATCGCTTTACAAAAGGAAGATATGTTCAATGCATTTGTAAACAAGGATCTGGGTAAAGGTATTTTATGTATGAAATTAGGGAAGTGGACGGGCCCACTTTGGATGACAATAATATATATTATATTCATCTTTTCCTTCATAACAACATCCCATCAGCATCTTCTCAAATGGACTCCTCCTCACTTTGATATCTTTAAGCATCCTCCCAATCATCATTAAAACCAAACCTCTGCACCCAAACCCCCCTGCAGTCTGGTCATAGCCTTTCTAAACCCTAATGGCTCCATAGCAACAAACGTAGCAGATGGTGAATGAATTTTGGGATATATAGTTAATACAATTCATGTAAAAGAGTGTGAGATTACTGAAAAACATTCCAAGTAATTTGCTGTGTAATTTCTGTTGGAAATTTGGCTGTCATTAATAATCTCAATCTGATGACACTTGTGAGTCCTATAGGTAGAGTAGCTTAGTAAGGCTAAAATGTCTACTGTATACCCTTGGGTGAACAATTTCCTCATTCAAGGGATTGTCTCAAAGAAGAAGAGGGCTGGTGTGAAGAGTCATGGAAGTTCTGACCGCTCTATATACAAAGAATATCGACCTTTTAGGTACGACACTACTATATATTGACTATCAAAGTACAATATAGAAAGTAAATAGCTGTAGTCGGCTTTAGTAGTGGTAAGACAACTAAGACAACTAAGGGAAAAAGAATCGACTTTGCAGTACGATTCCCTAGCGACTATATATTGACTATTAAAGTACAATATAGAAAGCAAATAGTTTTAGTTGGCTTTAGTAGCAGTAAGACAACTAAGATGACTAAGGAAAAATGGAATTGAGATACCTCTCACAGTGCCCCCCAGTTTGAAGATGTCAACGGAAAGTCGGAGGATGTCAGGAACTCCTCCCCATGTATATTGAGTGGATCCCCCTCGCTGCAAGATAGCTCGGGCCCAACTTAGCCGTTTAGTCTGAAACGAATGGGGAGTGCCTATATGATGTTACTACATTATGAATAGTTGTGACAGATTAGCAAAACACTCCAGGATAAAATCAATGAGAGGGTATCTATAAGGCTTGAAAATGGGAGGGGGACGGTGATGCATGAATGGCAAAAATGGCCCACTATTGTCGAGGCGGTGCACTCCATCATAAAGTCGGTTCACCCCTGTAAGCTACACAGGGGAGCACCGGGGCCATATAACATCACTGCATTGGGAACAGCTGGGATAGAGATTAATAAAAGAGTGGATGAAACCAGTGCAAGCTGATCGTGATTTTTCATGAGGCATGAAAATGGGATGGATGCAGTCATGCATGAATAGGGAAAACGGCCCGCTGGTGTTGAGGCTGGGAGTAACTATGGAAAGAAAGATTAAAGTCATAGTTAGTACAGGAATTCATAAGCAAAAAGGGACTCACGTTCAAAAATGGGCTTCATGGTCAAATACAAAAGTTATTCCTCGGGCTACTTGGTTTGGTGTCCCAGATGCAGGGGAATAAAAAAGAGACAAGGGGTACCCCTCATCATGACGTCATATGGTCCCTGTAAGCTACGCGGGGGAGCGCCGGGCCCATATGACATCACTGCAGTGTGAACAGCGTTGATAGAGATTAATAAAAGACTGAATAAAACGAATGGGAGCTTACGGTGATTTTGCACCAGGGGTGAAAATGAGATAAATGCAGTCATATATGAATGGGAAGACCGGCCAACTAGTGTTGAGGCGGGGAGTAACTACGGAAAGAAAGATTAAAGTCATAGTTAGCACAGGAATTGGCAGGCAAAAAGAACAAGATAGGACTCACGTTCCAAAATGGCCTTCATGGTAAGATACGAACATCACTCAGGCTACTTGGTTTGGTGTCCCACATCAAAAAAGATACGAGATGTACCACTCAACATGACATCATATGGTCCCTGGAAGGCTAAGGGGGGGAGCGCCGGGCCCATATGACGTGTTACGACCGTGTCGCAACCCTATCGGCCCCGAGATTATCGCCACTTGTCAACGTTTCAAGTCATCCTCTCGGAAACCATCGGCCCCGAAGCTGACGAATGTTTCGCGAAGATCAAACTCCATTTACGCCCACGTCAAATAACTCGTATTGTCTGGTCAAACTTTGATACGTCCCCTTTATTATGTTGATCCGTTCAATCTTATGTTTCGCATATGTCTATCTATATTTGTAGTCCTCGAACCATTTCCTTTTATCGTAATTCCGCTCTCGGTTATCATCGGCCTCCGAACTAATCATAAACTTCCCGTTCCTAGTCAAGCTTATTGTTAATACCGTGTTCCGCCCTTCTCCCCATTAGTATTTTCCAGACGCCTGTTACTTGTATATGAACCCGCTGTAATTGTAGTTACTAGACAATCAGAATATCGACTCAGAATACCCTCATACACCTGTATCAGTCTCATACTAAGACTTCCCC